GAGCAGATATTGTAAATATTCCACTCTATTCTCTGAAAGTCCAGACAAAACATCATATTCAGAAAGGTTAATGAAATTCAAGTTGATAAATGTATAGATAAAACGAGCCTTACCAATATACAAACCCAGTCATTCCTAGAACAATAAGTGGGAGTCTACAATCTATTAATCATGTCGAATATGCCACTTACCATATGGTATTATATTGTTTGACATATATTTTTCATTACTTCTGAATGTAACCCTGTGAAGTCAGTTTTATAATCTATTTTCAGATTCAAAATACTGACGCTTACAAGAATTAACTAACATTGCAAGGTCACAAACTTAGTTGAGGCTGAGTTGGTGCTATAGTTCTTAGACCTAATCCCAGAAGTGCAACATCATTCAAGATCAATAATGTACCCCAGCTTACCAAATTCTACTTCCAGTGTGTCCTTGTCAGGATCCAGAATATCTGGTTTGAAATTAGTGTTTTTGTCTGAAATATAAAAATAAAGAGATTTTCACGGGGATATATGAAATCCTGTTTGCTAAGTACTTCATCATACTTTGGCATGAATGCTTTCTAGTTACTCTTTTGTATTTTACACATAATTCATGCAGCTAAGAAATCTGTTTCCATCTCAAAAGTGTACCTCCACAATGGATTGTGAGACTAGCGTTTGAGGGGTGCAAAGGATGGATCCATCGATTCGTCTCCACCTGAAAAAACTTTACTCCACACCAACCCTGCTCACCAGTTTCAGACTTGAGCCTCATCCCTGCAGTCTCCTTCCAATTTCTTTTTGGTGCCCTTTAGCATCCACCCAAGGAAATAAACAACTCAGCCAGACGTGGTTCACCATTCTATCACCAAATTTGCAGTTTGTTTCAAAATAAAGAAGAGTCAGTCCAACCCTTAACCTCGTCATTTATCCCTTCATTTTTGTCAAATTACTGTCACTGTCAAACTTCCTTCTGAAAATGTTTTGTTTTCTGTTAAGAGAAAAATACATCACCTTTTCTCTAGACATTGTTCTACTCTTCATCTCAGAGAACTGATCCCATCAATTACACCCTCTCTCTCTTGTAGCATTACTTCTATGGGCTTCTTCTCACAAGCATTTACACTTACTCTTCATCTCAAAAAAAAAAAGGCAGGGAGTGAAGAAATCCTCCTCCTCACATCTGCCTTGAGTCCCCGACCAGCCGAGAGATAATTCTTTAAAGAGTTCTATACACTCATTTTCTGCATTACCTCGCCTCAAATGGAGTCTACTGTTAATACTACACCGAAACGATTTTGCCCAAAGTCAATAGTGACCTCCAAAGAGCTAAATCCACCGAACACATGACCATTTTAAAGCTCTTGACTTCTGAACAGACTTGGAGACAGTAGGTCATGCCATGTTCGACTCTGCTTTTCTTTGGGGTTCCATGTTAGGGTGCTCGTCTCTGTCTTCAGCTTTTCTATGTGACCATGGCATTTCTTCACCGTGACATTGTGGACATTCCTTCCTTTATGCTTCTTTTGAATAACACTTCTCTTCTCATTCTGCACGGTCCTTTTGTATTATCCCAATCACTCACAGGCCTCTTCTTTACGGCCATTCCTGACCCCTGACATTATCTATCAATCACGCATATAATCAGCCTTACTATATTTACTGAGTCCTTTCCTACACACCCTTCTGCTGAAAACCACTTTCCATCATGCCA